TTAAATTCAATGGTAAAACGCTCAATTTATATGCAAAGTCTAGCCCACCAGAATCTGTTTGCACCCACCTCACGTGCAGCTGCCTGCTATTCCAACTGGCTGAGACAATCAAAAGGCACCTTCAGTATCTTACAGAGGCCACCTGGAAGGACTGCAGCCTAAATCCCCATTAGGCCACCTAAAGAATAAATCCTGAATTTTTTGTTTACATCATAGCACACTGTACAAGATTTTTGTTTATTTAATCAGGCAAACTCACTTGTATTAGGGGCCAAGGTTTAGAAAAAAAAATTAAAACAAGCTTTTATGTACTTGGCATACTATGAATTGCATTGTCATAGGGGAACTTTGTTCTGACCCCAGTGAAAAATCATGTTCTATCTGGGTACTAAAGATGTTTTCTGAGGTTATGCATAGAAGCTGCCATAAGTTCTCTTTTCCCCAGAAACTGGTTAACACAACCAACTTTGCAGAGCCAGTTTAAGCAAGTTTTAACTGATGCTGAATTAGTTGCAATAAAGATTGGGACTAGTTCTGACCTTCCCAATCAGGGCATGTCTGCAAGGATACTCATCTCATTTTGAAGATTTTCCTCAGCATTTCCCTCAGCATTTCTTTATAACAGATCTCTGCCTACATAATTTTACACAATCTATCACAAATTACATTGTAGTACTCCATTTTGTAGAATAGCTTCACTTTTATCCAATACATCTAATTAGCTCCTTCTTCTCCCATGCCCACCTATTTATATGATCAGAAAGACTGGCTAACCAAAAACTATTATTTAAAGCCTACACAGCAAAGTAAACTCCAGAAATACCCCTGAAAGTCTTTATTCTATTTTGTAACCTGTATCTTCATTGCTTTTCATGCTCTGTTGATATAAATTTCTTCCTTCCTAAAGAAAAATGTAGTCTTTTTGGATTTCAGTAAAGCTTGCAATACTCTCTCACAGTATCCTTCTAGACAAAATATCCAGCACAAAGCTGTTTTCATACTTCAGTTCAAAGATGAGTAATTACTTTTAACACTAGAAGTTCTTTTCATTGATTAACATTCAAAAATAAAAATATTACTATGTTCTTCAAAAAAAGTATTCAGGCTTCACTAACCAATCTAGTTTTGGGGTTGAGGCGTAGGTTAAAGTGTATGTGTGTGTGTTCAGGGTTTTTACAAAGGAATTGCTTAAATTACCTTGTAACAACATGCAATGGGTGAGCACCCGGCTCATGGGTGGTCATGGGTGGGGCACAAAGGGTTAAAGTGAGTGGGGTGATCTATGGTTGGTGACCTGTCCCTGGTAGGGTTCCACAGGGCTCCATCCTCTGCCCTGTGCTCTTCTACATCTTCATAAATGACAGGGACACAGGACTGGAAGGGATACTGACCAAATTCACAGCTGATATGAAACTGGGAGGAGCTGCTGACAGCCTTGAGGGCAGGGAGGTCCTGCAGAGAGACCTCAATAAATCAGAGGCCTGGGCAATCACCAGCCATAAGAATTTTAACATGGGAAAGTGGGATTCTGCACCTGGGACAGGGTAACCCTGGATGTACAGACACACCGAGGAGTTAGAGGATGGAGAGCAGAGCCACAGAAAGGGACCTGGGGGTCCTGGTCAGGGGCAAGCTGAACCTGAGCCAGCAGTGCCCTGGCAGCCAGGAGGGCCAACCCTGTCCTGGGGGGCATCAGGCACAGCATGGCCAGCCAGGCAAGGGAGGGGATTGTCCTGCTCTGCTCTGGGCTGGGGCAGCCTCACCTCCAGTGCTGGAGGCAGCTCTGGTGCCACAACATAACAACGTTAAACCACCAGAGAGCATGCAAAGGAGGCCGTGAGGATGGTGAAGGGCCAAGAGGAGAAGCTGTATGAGGAGCAGCTGAGGTCACTTGGTCAGTTCAGCCTGGAGGAGACTGAGGACAGACCTCACTACAATCTGTAACTATTTCATGAGGCCAGAGGAAGGGCAAATACTGATCTCTCTCTGTGGTGACAGGGCCCAAGCAAATGGCCTGAAATTATGTCAGGGAGGTTTAGGGTGGTATTAGAAAAAGGTTCTCCACCCAGAGGGTGCTTGTCAGAACAAGCATTTGGACAGTGCTGTCAGAAATATGGTGTGATTCTTAGGGACGGTGCTGAGCAGGGCCAGGACCCAATGGTCCTTGTGGGTCCTTTCCAACATGGCATATCCTGTGATTCTGTGATCACTGTGAAATATGATTTCAACTCAGCCACTCATATAGACTTTACTCCTTGCTTGCCTACATCCTGCATGTAGGTAAATGAACTTGCACAATGTTTCCAATGCTTGAGAAATGTGCGAAGGGGAAGCCATTTCCTGCAACTGATTTTTTTCTGTTTCTAAAAAGGATGCTCACTTTTTAGGAAAAAAGGATATTTTTACCCTTGATTCTGAAGCTTGAAACCCTAGTAAATTAACTGAAAATACAACTGAATGGATTTCCACAATCCTGTTGCACCAAATACTTAAAAAAGTTATTCAGTTCCCCCATTCATGAATAATGTATACAAAAATCCTCTCTAATTCAGTTGCATCGTTTAAATCCTAGTAATAATGGAGTAGTCAATGGCAACATGCGGTGGGGGTGAAAATGCAATTTAAATTGTCAGACACATTTCCATTAAATTATAAATATTCCCAGTATGTTCTAGCAGAAGAAAACTTCAGCAAGCAAAGACCCAATCTTTGAAAGGTGATCAGTGCTTCTAAAATTTAATATCAGCAACTATGTGCACACAACATTTCCTAGAGAAAAAGAGATTAAAAAATATATATTTAAGCACATAGGTCTAAATTTCTTATTCTCAGAGACCCCAGTTGTAGAGGTGGGTAAAGAATTGGACCTGAATTCTTTTAAATCAACTTTCTAAAGCACTTTAATTTCTGCTTTTGTTCATGCATACTATTCTCCAGGCCACAACATCCAGAACCAGCTCGGTGTCCAGCACTTTCAGAACGCCCAAACTCTTTTTTTCTCTCTGTCCTGCTTTAGGTATAATTGTTGTTTTTCTTTGGTATAATTCTTTGTATAGTGCCTAACAGATCAAACTATGAAAGGAAAGGGATTTTTGTTATTTAATTCTAGCTAAAGTTCAACAGTTCTGTAGAAAACTTCACCTACAAGAGTACTTATTAATGGATATCATGATCAAGCCACTGGGCTTGGTTTCTCCTTAGGAGCAATTTTGAGAGTTAATGTAAATTTAAATGTAAAATACATTGGCTATACACAAAGAGTTGATAACCTTACACATTTGATTTTCTGGTGTCAGATGCTTTCTTAAAATTTGAAATTTATATTTGGCAAACCAGGCAATTTTTTTAATCCAGTTTTAATTATCTTGTAACAGGCAGTTCTATAGATATTTCTGAATAAAAAGCAGATCTTGGTCCTCTGACAATGTTACTTAATTTCTAAACACATTTCCATTAATACTCTCAAAATTAAAAGTCATGGAAACCAAATGTTTCCAGTTGGACAACATAATGAATTTAGATTGTGGTATCTTGTATTTAAATTAATTTGTTTTAACAGACTCAGAGTAATTAATTATATCTCTAAAAATCCATAGAAAGGTAATCTTAATTTATCTGTTTTGATAGTGAATAGCTTTAATACTATGTACATAGATTCATTTTTCAAAAGCATTTTTGTAATGGCATGATACAAAACATACCTAAATTAACAGGAGAACTGCCCTTGACTTGAATAGACTGTAGATCAGGCTTCAACCACCATGACTTTGCCAAGAATAAAATTCTTAAGGGATTTCTTATAAGATACGATGAGAAATGAAACACACACAGGTTCTCATCGATCATAGCTGGAGCCCACAAAGTGACATGTGAAAAGTGGCTGAAAGGGAACCCTTAAGGACTGGAAAAGACATGGTTATTGATTCACCAGGAACAGTCTTGCCAAGCTCAAATGAAGGAAAACAGAAAAATGGAATAACCTGGGTGTAATTCTTTTGAGTTAATGCACTATGTGAGTGAGAGCTGTGTTAGTCGTCTCTAGCATCCCTTCCTAAAGCATCTACATAATTTTAATTATATAAATGGCTACAGTAAAAAACTTAAAAGATCAGAACTCCAATCAATTATTGAGTATAAATTACCACATATGCCAGTATTTTTACCAAGATAAAACTATGACATGTGCAATAAATGTCTTACAAATTTTTAAATCTTATGAAGAGTATTTGTGTACATTGAAACTGTGAAAGTGATGAACTTTAACAAGAAAACTACTCTCTCACTTCATTTATATTGATTAACTGAACTACAGAAATGAATATATAACATACACTCAAAGAAAAATGTTACATACTTCCTACAATTCTCTAATTCACTTTGGGAAAAGAGGGAATCACAGTGCATCAAAAATAACTTCATACTAAAACTTTTATTCTGGATTTGTTTTTCAGACCCAAAATTCATGAAAGATCTGTAATTCACAGTCAAAACTATAACCCAGCAACTAAATAAATCTTAGTAATACTTACAGGCTTAGTAGTGATACTGAACTTAGGCTTACATTACATATGTGAGAGTAACCCTTTTCTAAGGAGATCAAAATATTTAACATAATTTGATTAGGTCAAATTGACTGGATTTGACCAATAATCTCTTTCAACCTTTAATTTTGTTGAGTTTTGTACAGAAAAAAAGAAAGATTTTCAAACAAAAAACTGCCCAGCATCCTATAGAGTGGCAAAGATACCTTTTCTTGAATAAATCTTTCCTCAAAAGTCACTTACATTGCACAATAACATTTTATTGACCAATATAACATAAACTTTGTTTAATGTTGTAAATTTTGTTTATGTATTTATACTTAAATGCAATTTGAATTAAATGAGAATAGTTAGTCAGAAAATCAGTATGTGGGTTTGTTGGTTTTTTTTTTTTTTTTTGGTTTTTTTTTTTTTTTTTAATCTACAGGTTTTATAGTTTACATGGGCTTTTTTCCTTACCTGGAACTCTCTTTGCCCAGTTGATCATGTGCACCAATTCTCTGTCTGCAAGGTTGGTCAACAGGGTCATCATAGAGGCTTCATTGAATGGTCTGTTTGGGTCATATTCAGAATAAACCAGGGGGGGCTCAGCTTCCAGCAAGGCACTGACCATCTGTTCTGCCGTCAGGGACAGGGCTGGGCTGTTCTTCTTGTTATGTTTAACCACCAGTGGACTTGTCCAAAGGGTGGGAGCTCGCAGCTCTGTTGAAGAAGCCTCCCCATTCCTGGAATCCTGCTCCTCTCTTTGGCGTTTTTGTTTCATCACTCGCCCACCTCTGCGGTCTTTCCGGATTCCTAGAGACACACAAGAATACCATCAATCCCTTCCCTTGAACTTAAGTGTTACGTACACTTGGCTTCAGTCAACAGCAGATGCTTTTGATAGACCCAGGCAGCACTGAGTCTTGACTAAGACTTCTTCAGGAGCCTTACACCGGTAGTTGGACAGAGAAACTAATTTTTAAAGTATAGTGTCAGGAATAGTGCACCCCTTCCTAAAATTCATATCAGTTGGGCTCACACAGAAATCCAGACTAGTGATACTGTACCGTTGCCTTAACCCAGCAAAAGGAAAGTCAGTTATTGGGAACAAATAAACATTTCTTTATTGCCCAAAACTTCAAAGTATGTCCCAACCTCTAGCAGAATATTAGTCTATAAATTAGCAATGATAAATTAATGATGTTGGCGGGTCAGACGGATCACAGAAGTAGCTCTCAAAAATTACCGAGAATGTTTTGCTTAAAGTCACCAATTATTTTAATTAAACATCATCCTATTATGGAGCCTGTGATCTTCATAATTATATAAAAAATACTCAAGAAAGTTCCCATTATAAGATGAGTTTATACAGCAATAAAGAATGCCATTTAAGTAGATAAACATAAGTACAAAAAGGAGAGATAATTACGACCTCAGATTCTAATGTGGGAGACCTACTGTCAAAAGGCTGAAATAAACCACAACAGAAACCATTATTGTCATTACTGCACATTTCTGCAATGTGCTTTGCACTGTATGACCCTGAACTTAGGATATTATCAAGTCAGCCATACCAATTCAAACAACATAAGACCTTTGCAGTGGAACAAAATTTCCCTTTGTGGAAAAGTTACAAGAAAAATACAATGATAAAGCCCACATGGACTCCAACCATAAAGGGAAGGTTAAGTCTGGATCTAAGTGGAGGAGTATCAGGCATTTTGAGACTGAGTCAAAAACTTAAATCCATCATCAAGTGGAGGCAAGGGAGGACAACCAAGTAATAAGAAAAGCACACAAGGAATTGAGATATGAGAAGGCAGCTTATGATGCTGCTTATGCTGGACTTCTCATGCAATAGGTAAAAGCAGCACTAGTCCAGCTTGAAATGCAAAAGAAGTATCTACACAGAATAAAGATGTAAACCATTGAAGAAATAGGGAAAACATTTGAAGCAAAACAAAACAAACAAAAAATACTTGCAAGCAATTAGTACAGGTCTTTCTAAAGGTTGGGGAAAGGGAAACACAACATTTGCTCAGCTCTCTTAACACCACAAAATTTCAAACCTTTAGAATCCCAGTCTTTGTTGGCAGCATTTTCATCTCACATCTTTCATATAAATGTTGTTCTTCTCAGCCTCAAAGTAACAGGGAGAATCTTTCAATCTCTTTTCCTCTTTCTTGAATTATAAATTCAACACTGAATTAGTATTTGGAGATTAGGCATTTTATGTTTAATTCATTCAAACATAAAATCTAGTGGGCTTTGTGATTCTATTCCATTAATCTATTCAGATAAAGGGAGTTCAGTAAATCTCTCATCACTCTTATTACTTAACCTATCTACACTGTCCCAGTCACTAAACTAATTCTAAGCCAAAACTCTCAGGCGTGTTGCTGTTCCCATTTTTCATTCAGCAGTACCAATCTTTCCTTCCACTGAACAGTTCCTGTTATGGAGAGGCAGGGAGATTCTTGCTATTCAGAAAAACACGACTTACTCTGGCAAATTGTCATCAGAGAGATATTCTCACTGGTAACTTCCTTGCAATACTCAATAGCAGGCATGCTCTATCTGTAATAGATATTTTTGTTGTATGTTGTATTTGTTGTATGTTTTGTATCAATTTAAAGGTTTTGAATTAAACTGCCCTGTGAAACGTGTATATATAATCGCATGAACAAGCCCACATGATTCACAGAAATTAAAATAATAAAATTATTTTTCCTTTTTTTTTTTGTTAACTTTCTCACATTCCAAATTTTATAGCTTCTCATCTAGAAATTTTCTTTCTATGCTGTTCAACATACTCATAAATAGATAGGCTGACATAATTCATAAACAAGAAGTTGAGGTTAGAAAAATACTATAAAAACATCAGATAAGTTTAGAAAGTAAACAGAAGGCTAGAAATTACTAGGGAAGGAAGGGAGGACAGAACAACTTCATAAATCACAGGGTTTATTATTGTGAGGCACACTACAGTGAACACTGCATACAGTTCTGTTCTTCCCAAATTAAAAAGAGATATAAAAATAAATTAAAAAGGGATAGGAGAAAAACAAGTAAGATTATTTGAAATGTGAAACAACTTTAGTGTAAGAAATATCTATACTGACTATATCTGCTTGGCCTGCAAGCCAGATACAAGACTAGAAAATCAGGAATAGCAATAGGATGAATAAGGTACAAAATGCTAAAGCTCCTCTTCTAACACAAGAAGGTTTCAAATGAAAATACACCAGCAAGGTTCAGGACAGACAAGAAGAGATTCTCTTTCACACCATGGAGAAAGACTGACAATGTGAATAAATTAGAAGGTGGTATATTTAGAAATCTGTAGGCCAAATGTGAGAGACAAAATAATCCATTAAAGGTTAGTAAATATAAGTAGGCCAACTTCAGCATTAAGTCTCCATCATATAGATTACTGGAAGATCAGAGTTTTTGTGTGTTTGCTTTTACTTAGTCCAGGTCTGCCTTGCTAAGTAAAACAAGGATGTGATGAGGATTTTACTTAACAGAGAAAGGATGGCAAATGTAAGCATATTTAGCTGTTTACAAATAAACCGGATGTTAAATAAGAAAAATAGTTTAATTTTTAATTCATCTGAAAGCCTACCACTGGCTTTTCTTCACCTTAGAACAAAAAAAGCAGTGCATTAAGGAAAGCTGAACGAAACCAGTTTGGAGGAAATGCCTCCCACAAATTTATTTTTTGCATTTTTATTTCCGGATTAAAAAAAAAGTCAACCAACCAACCAACTGCAGCAATTTTACTACTGGATTTTGTAGAGACTAAGTCTGAAAAAAAAGTCAGTAAGTGTATGCATTCCTTCTGCATCACATCACCAGCTTTTATGATCACAGACAGAAAGGTCTCTGAATCATATTCATCAGAGATTAATAGACCTTACTACTAATTCTTTACCTAAGGCCTAGATGGACAAACAACAAACTTACTCACTTTCTAGAACTAAATAGGAGTGAGTATCTCTCTGAAAAATGCAAGTGCTACCAAAGCTCCTTCAACTTAATCAAATTTTATCTCTGTTAAAGAGAGATAATAGTGATGCACAGCCACTAATTCCAAAAAAGGCAACTCTATCAAACTACAATTTCCTTGACAAAAGTGCAATGATTCTGTAAGGGTTTTTTAAATATATGAATGCATCCATTTTAATTTAGCTCTTCAGCAAATAAAGGAGCCTTAATTGTCAAGTGTTACAAAAGACAATGTTCTAGCAAAAACTGAAGAACTATGCATCTTGCAAGAGCTCTAAAACAATTTCCACTTGAGTTTTAAGGCTGCAAGAGCCAAGATTTTCAAAGGCAGTTCTACAAAGCTTCATATGTAAATTCAGTCAGACTTTTGGACATGGAGACAAGTTTCAAATCATTAGAACTTGATCAGCAGTAAAATTGCATATGGACAATAAAATTGCATATGACACTCCCATGGCAGAGGAGTTGGAACTAGATGATCTTTAACATCCTTTCCAACTCAAGAGTCTATGATCATATGGTTGTGAAAGATATGTTAACCATATTAAATACTTTCCTAGTGTTTTCCCATATGTCATTAAAGCAAAACAAAATTCCAGATCGTTAAAACAAAAGATCCAAAATTAAAAATGCACTGAATGAGCACTGAATCTCAGCTATACAACAGTCTTTTTTTCCTACCTACTGCTAATAAAAAAGCTCCACTTTCATACCTTCATATAAAATATTTGAGAATATTCAGAGGAAGAATAGGAGGAGACCAATTAGACTCAAATTTGCTTGGCGGTGTGTGAACTACAGAGTAATACATTTTAGATTTGAAGATGTAACGTATAATCTCCAATTTTATTCAAGTTAAATACAGTACTTGTGAACTGGTTTGTATAATATGTATAATATTTTTCAATTTATTTCTTGTTAGAAATTTGGTCAATCAACAACAGTTTGTAGCCACTTTTTTTTTCCTTTTTTTTTTTTTTTTTTTCTTATTTGTGTTTGGGATTTTGGGAGGGGTTTAGTTTTGGGTTTTTTGTTTGGTTTGGTTTGATTTTTTTTCTTTTTCCTTTTTTTTTTTTTATTTAAGAGGGCAACAAAAAGAAGGAATTATGATTGGATTTGGAAACAGTGATGGGTAAACGGTTTACCAGCTAACTTTCCAGCCTGGAACAATCTTTGAACCTGAGGGTCTTTGTCCACACTTCTGCTCCTTGTCAGCAGGCCCCAGAGGAGAGACATTTGACACTTCTGTATACATGCACAGCCTTGTAGCCTTAACAGCCTATAATTTTGTCAGTTTGTCAAAAGAGTGCTTCAAATGTTCTTGGAAGCACCTTCTCTTCCAAACAATGTCGTTGCTCTTCACAACCAACCTACCTCATTGGCATCCTGTTGAAAATTGCCAGAGAGAAAGAACGTCTGTTTTAGAGAGAAACAATCCCTAACGTTTTGTAAATCAAACCCTGCTTGACAATAAAAGAGACAATGTATGTGGTAAGTGAAAGATATTATAAATAAGAAGGTATCGCTCAGAGAGGCAGAGAGTCAATTGCCCGCTGATGATCAAAGTGTTAAGGGAGAACTCACTGAACAGGCCATGGCAGAGCTGCCAGGCAAATCCTTTACACCGGTGTTTGCAAAGGAAGAAACCAGATTTTCCTATGACACAATCCTACCTTTCTGAAACTGAAGTTGGGATTGAAGAGACCAGAAATTCAAAAGTGTCTCTCCAAATGTCCAAGTATGGGAAGGATTTACTAAACTGTTGGGAGAAGCCCTCTGGGGCTGAGTCCAGACTCACTTTGGTG